TAGGTTAGGTAGGTAGGTAGGTAGGTTAGGTAGCTAGGTAAAATTCAGTCAGGAGGTAGGAGGTGCCTAACTAGCTAGGGAGGCACGTAGTTAGGTTGCTAGGTAGATAGGTAGACCAGTAGGTAAGTACCCAGCACAAACTCACCCGAAGCTAGATCCGCCACAACACCCCCAACCTCGAAACTGTTGTTGCATTGCTAGCTAAGTGCATACACCAAACTCTTCGGGAAGAACCTCCTCAAGGCCTACGAGGACTGGAAGGTGATGCCGTCTACGAGTCGGGGAGACTTAAGGGGTCGACAGACTGTGGACCTCTCAAAGAGCAACCGGGAGATCTTCCAGGCGTTGCCCACCGGTGACTTGTGGTTGGACAGTCGTGTGCACGAGGTGTTCTTGTACTTGTACCGTTGCAAGAATGTGGAGCTTCTCGACTAAACATAATTGCACATCATGTGTAGAATGTGCCTCTTCTGTGAACAGCAGCATGTAGCCATGCATGGTTCAGGATACCGGACAGCTGGCACGATGCAATGAAGGACTTCAAGGAAGATGTCCAAGCTACTGCACCTTTCTTGATCGTATATGCATGAACACGAAACGTTTGTCGCTCTAGGAACCCTTTTCAGTTTTGTGCCGACCCAAGGCATGCGGCTCCGAGGAGTTGCGAAGTGAATTGCAAGCCCTAATTCAGTCTTCGAGCACTAATTGAAATTAGGCTGGCTGCTGCTGTTTGTCACGGTTGCGAATCCCGAGCCGTTGCCCCCCCCCCACCCAGACGACTGGGCCCACTAGGCTTGCTAGACTCTTTAGAAGGCAATCCGCTGATCTCCGGCCGAGCTGTTGCCTCCCCGGGCGACTAGACTTGCTAGACTAGTTAGAAGGCGACACCCTGAACTCCGGGCCCCCAGCTCCCAAGCACAACTAGACTCCCTAGACTATTTAGAAGGCAATCCCCTGAACTCCTGGAGTACGCCCCCCAGCTACCCTAGCTGCTGTCTCCGTAGACAATTTAGAAGGCAAACCCGTGAACACCGGACCCAACTAGTCTATCTAAACGGCTCTTAGGAAATTACCGGTCTCTTTTGTGTTTTGGGGTGTTTTAGTGGCAAAAGCCAAAATAGCCCGGACGGTTTTCCCCGCACTCCGGCCGCAAATTCCCGCAACCCGGACGCAAACCCACGCAACCGGCCGCAAACCAAATTTCCATATCAAACCGAAAACCACAAGCGGCTGTATTCTTAAAAATCCGGCTTGATTCTCAGATCCGTGGCCTCGTAGCAGCTGATTCCAGAAGAGTGCCGGGGCATCCTGCCAAAAGCCGAGCTCGAGTGTGCATGTTTACAATCTCAGCACGCAAGTGGCTCGCCAATACGATTGCTGCCTGTAGCTCTTGCTGTCAGTGTGCGGATGTGTCGCAGAACGGCTCTGTAGGCAGTACTAATTATGGCCTCCAGGCAAGGATCCTGCAATTCCCTTTTAGCTGGGATTAGTTTGTTGGGGCAAAACTCGATGGCTGAGCAGAGTGCAAAGCATGATCTCCAAGCTCGCATTGCAGCCTTATGTCAGCATTTATTGCATACAACCCTCCAGAAGTTTGTAGGTAATGCAATCGCCCACACCAAACCCTATCCCGTCACTGAGGCTTCCAAGGCGAGGATCGAAGCTTTGCAAGCGCAGCTCGCGACCCGCCAGTCCTCCAACAGCGCAGGAGCTCACGCCGGTGCACCGCCACCTGCAGGTCACACGAAATACTACAATTAACCCTAAGCCCTAAACCCCTTAAACCCTAAACCCCTACAACCCTGAACCCCTAAAGCCCTAAACCCCTAAAACCCCTACAACCCTGATCCCCTAAAACCTTAAACCGCTAAAACCCTGAACCCCTAAAGCCCTAAACCCCTAAAGCCCTAAAGCCCTAAATCCCTAAAACCCTAAACCGCTAAAACCCTGAACCCCTAAAACCCTAAACCCCTAAAACCCTAAACCCCTAAAACCCTGAACCCCTAAAGCCCTAAACCCCTAAAACCCTGAACCCCTAAAGCCCTAAGCCCCTAAAGCCCTAAACCCCTAAAGCCCTGAACCCCTAAAGCCCTAAACCCCTAAAACCCTAAACTCCTCAAACCCTGAACCCCTAAAGCCCTAAACCCCTAAACCCCTAAACCCTAAACTCTAAACCCTAAGTATACTAGTGTGTGTGTGTGTGCACTTATGCATGGCATGTGGCTTCTGCTTTACATGCATGTGTGCTAAGGTGCCCCAAATGTGGCCAGGCTGGCTTCATGCGAGGCTTTGGCTGGTACCTTTGCTGTGCCTATGACAAGCCCGCCGAAGTCTTGTGGGACACGTGGGAGTCTGGAGACTGAATCCTACGATAGCACCGTGGAAGATGCACAGTGCCCGTACCCCAGAAAGAAAGACATAGCCTCCGGCCCAACCGTGCCACCTGCAAACACCGGCCCCACCGACACTACGGCAAAGCCGGCCCACCCGTTGCCTGTGACTGCACCGAGCCAAACCGTGGCAGAGGCAAACCCTGGTGACATCTTGCCTGCCACAAACCCTAGCCACACCATGCCTTCGACTGGAGCCTTGCCTTCAACTGGATCCGTGACGCCGACAAACCCGGGCCACGCCGTGCCTTCGAATGGACCCATGCCACCGGCAAACCCAGGCCACACCGTGCCTTCGACTGGACCCATGCCACCGACAAACCCGGGCCACGCCGTGCCTTCGAATGGACCCATGCCACCGGCAAACCCAGGCCACACCTTGCCTTCGACTGGACCCATGCCACCGACAAACCCAGGCCACGCCATGCCTTCGACTGGACCCATGCCACCGGCAAACCCAGCCCATGACGTGCCTTTGACTGGACCCATGCCAGGCGCAAACCCGGGCCACACCGTGCCTTCGACTGGACCCATGCCACGTCATGTGACCCCCAAGAAAAGCAGGACCCGAGAGAGCTTCAATGAAAGCAGATCACCCCCCGAGAGTGTGACACCGCCTTCCTCGAGCACAACACCGGCCCCAGTCCGAAAGACCAAGACGAAGAGGTCCAAAAGCCCAAGCTATTGGCAGACTTTCGACTGCATGGTATAAACCCTAAACCCCTAAACCCTAAACCCTAAACCCTAAACCCTATTATATATATATATATATATGTCTATATCTATCGATCTATCTATCTATGTAAGCTATGTGTGTGTGTGTGTGCGTGTGTGTTGTGTACATGTGTGCTCAGGGACAGATGTATGTGCATGTGTTCACACTTGCCATGTCTTGCTGTGCTTTTGCTGAGGATGAGACGCTACTTCGAGCCCAAGAAATGTGGGTCGCTAAAGTGCTCTCCGGAAGCACTAGCCCTATACAAGACGGCTGATGGACGCAGCTGGGCGAAGTCATCGTAGCTATGTGCACCTAGGAACCATGCCAAACCCCTCTGCTTGTGTGCTTAGGTACCAAGCTTCGGGAACTCTTGAAAACTCACGGCAACTTCAAGGCCCTTGAACTGCACGTCCGGAAGACCCATCTGAGTAGCTACGGCAAGAGCAAGGAAGGCCAGTGGGTGACAAAGCAATTCTTGGCGCAGTCTGAACATTGGACCCCGCCCAATCCTAAGTTCGATTGCATGCAGCATCGAGGGGATCACTACGGATAGCATCGTGGCACTGCACCCACATAAGGAAGATGATTTCTGCAGCATGGCAATGGGCAGCACGGACCAAGAATTTGCGAAAAAATGCCGTGCACGGGGAGGAGGAAGCGAGGCTTGTCCTCACGGACAAATTCGAAGCCCAAGACCTCACATCGCAAGAGACGGACCTTCGAGGGAGAATCGATGTCGAGGAGCCCCCTTTCATTCCGACAAAACTCATTTCCAATTCGGGTTCCCCCCCTCCAAATTACATTGCATCCCCGCCAGGACGACTCCGGATTTCTGTTGTCGAACGACATACCGAGCATCGATGCCGACGAGAATGCTTTGGCCAATGGTCTTGCAACCGAGCCAGCCTCCTCCAGTGGCTCCGCCCAGCAGATGGAATCCTTCTCCGCGAGTGCCAGCTTCAAGCAGCTAGCTTGCATTTGTTATTCGTGAGCTCTACTACACGGACGAGGGAAACCCGCCTTAAACCCAAGCCCCCAGGAAGCTAGATTGTGCCCACACCCCAAATCCGAAGGCTGACATTTCCAAGCCTTTCGCAAACGAGCTCACCTGTCCAGCTGCTACCGGAGTACCTAGAAGTACTCGGACGAAAGATCGATAACACCGAGGATGTGCTGGACCGTTGGGGAGGGGTGGGGTTGGCTTGCAGTACCTAGGAAAAAACTGGTTGGGCAATTTAGACTCTGCAGGATCGGTTGGCAACTGTGGGAGGAGCTCGGGCGACAGCGCTACTCCACTGCATTTAATCGAATGTAGCTGTGTTAGTGCATGCTGATCGAACTTCAAGGCTCCGCGACCGGATCGCAGATGTGCTCAAGGGCATGAAAGCCATGTTCAGTGATCTGACCAAGAAGCAGTCTGATGCTTTGACCCGGCCGCTGGATAAGCTGCTAAACTCAATTACGTGAAGTTCTCAATATATGCAATATTCTAATCCCTGGGATGAGTTACCTACTGAGGCCGTTCTCGGACAGCATCCTTCGCATGTTTGCAGATGTGACGAAGCAGGACCTCATTATGAACAACTATATTGTGAGGTCCAAGACTCTTGTCTGCAGGAGCATGATGTTATCCTACACCGTATCCCTAAAGCCTCTGCCATCGTGTATGTATACAAGCCCGGGCACTGTAAACCCAGATCCTCAACCCACTAACCCCTTGTCGGCCTCGTATACGATCTACACCTTACAAGCCCAAGGCTTCATAAATGCCCTTTGACCCATCCCATTCCATTGTCCCCAAACTTCTTAAGCCCTCAAGGTCCTTCGCCCTTCGAGCCCCGCTGTGAATCACCCCCTGTAGTACCTCAAAGCCCCAACCCAGACCTGAACCCCAAAGCCAATGTTTAGGGTTTAGGGTTCAGGAGTCTAGGGATTTAGATGGATTTAGGGCTGAGGGGCTTAAGGTTTCGATGGGTTTAAGGTTCAGTATAATATAGTCCAAGATATGACGACCTAGGTGTTAAGCCCAACACCTTTCCCCTCAAAACCTAAAGGTCCTTAGACAACAAAAATTAGCCCATCTCCCTAAACCCTAAACCCCTAAACCCTAAACTCTAAGGCAATAAACCAGGGACCCTACAAGCCTGTAAAGCCCTATCAGGTCGGTGAAATCCACAGCAGGGTCCTCGAAGCCTTCCAAGTCCAAGGGCCCAGCCAAGAAGGATAAGGCCGAGAAGGCAAAGCCTTCCAAGAAAAAAGGCGGCAAGAAGAGCCCCACCAAGGCTAAGGGAAAGAACCCGAAAGCCGGTTCCTGATTTTCCTTTGAAGATACATGATCGAAATTTGCGGTGCCCAGCTGCTTTATCTACCCGTTTCGTGTGAAGTCTCGAGTTCCTGTGCACACGCGGGGATGTTGTGCAAGAGCCCAAAATGAGTGCCGACTTGTGCTGTAACCGGACACATGTTGCAACAAAGCACAGCTTCCTTTCTAATTAGTGCAGATTCGAGTGTTTTCGGTGCAGGTATGTTTCCACGAGCAGAGCAACATGCCCGCAACGGCAATGACGACGAAGGTCGCTCGGTTCAAATGCAAGAGTACTCGAAATCCTGTCGAAGCCCAAACCCACGAAAACCCATGAAGCCCACACTTCAAGCCCAACATACTTGTCTAGTTTAAACGTTTAAACCCAAACAAAAAATTTCCTAGGTGCAGTAGCTGTCGTATTGGTCAAACCCCAGAAGGGTACGATCGTATCAACTCCCCAAAGATTATAGGTTTAGGGTTCAAGGTTTTTCCGGGTTTAGGTTTAGGGTTCCTTTCCCCCGAGATAGATTCTCTAACTTGGGTTTAGATTGCTCTGGGTTTTCCTACAGGGCTATACCGAATCAAGATTCCAAGCCCAGGCCACCATAATATTCTAAACCTCTACAATGCAAATTGTCTATCCCCAAACACCCTTAATGACTATCCCAAGCACAACCGCCAGAACTACGCAGGCCGTGTGAGCGACGGCGAAGATTCCGATGACGACCTGGCAAATGAGCTCTTCATGGGCTTTCAAACGGGTGTACCTTGTATTCTTCAGCTTATTGCATGTTAATGGCATAGCCAGTAGTGTGTTTGCAGGGTTTGAATGATGAGGCAGAGACAGCAGAACGTGTTGTTCGCATAGCACAAGTGGCTGCACGTAAGCTGAAGAAACATGGACTCTTGGCAAATTAGAGTGCACGAGTCGAGGCTGAGGATCCTACATGATCATATATAACGTACTTTTTGTGGCCCACCCTAAACCCTAAACCCTAAACCCCGGTTCTCAATAACCCTTGAGCTAAGGACCTGTAGACCCGGCTTTGAAAGACTTGGCCTCATGTGGACCTGGCGGTTCTCGGGTTGGTCATAATGCATCTCGAAATCTGCACCGGCTTCTTGCAAGGACCGGCCGTTATCTTCCAGTGGATATTTCTACAGTGAGGACACCAATCCGACTAGTCAACAAAGGCAGACCGAGAACAGTTGCAACAGCTTTCCCCGTGGTCATGCCAAGCTCCTGGCTGAAGTATTCCTTAAGTGTAGGAGGAGAGGCCTTCTTAGGAGGTCACCCGCTTGATGCTGAAGATGCATACTGCAACATGCTGGCCGATTTCTGGCAGAGATATTCAATGATTAATCCGGAATGTGCTGTATTCAAGAGACCTGACTATAGCAGGGAGTTTGCCAGCCGGCTGACACCACTGGCAGTTCATGGGGATGAGGGACGAGGCAAGGCCAAGCACCCCATCATGATATTGTCGGTGCAACCTGTAATCGGACCGAAAGGTCCCGATTTTGTGAACACCAGTGGGTACCTAGCTGCAAATCATGCAACCTTGATCCGCACTAATTACCATTTAAAACAGCCCTGAAATATACAAAGGCACTCCTTGACTACCCGGATGTTGTTTACAGTCATCCCCTCGCAACTATACGCCGACGATGAAACCTTGAGAGAGCTGCTCGGCGGTATGGCGGATGACCTCCAGCAGTTGTACGAAGATGGAGTGGAGGCTTGTTTTAGTCGCCAGGTTCTGTAAACCGCATAAGGAAGCTAGCTGTGCATGTATATATGTGTACTAATTAAACAAGCTGGCCCATCCTACAGGTGATGTTTCACAAACGTGCTCTGTGCTTTCGGGCTGCTGTTTTGGCGGTCAAAGGGGACTGGCCTTTTTTGCGAAAATCGATGGGCTTGGCGACAGGCTTCAATTGCAAGTTCAAGTGCCACCAATGCATGGCAGTGGACCCTTAATCCCATATAATTATTTATTTTCTGTGTTTCTGTAGCAGGCTTTTCATAACGGGTCGATTTATATCTAGCACATAGTTCTGCCTTAAGGACTGGTTTGATTGTTCCAAAGAAGCTCTACGCCGAGCCCATGCGCAATCTCCTCTGCCCAGCCCGTTCAAAGACGATGAAGAACCCTGGCCACTCAGACGACTCCCTACTATCGGCGACAATCCCAACGCTATACGAGCAGATGTTGCACACACGTGTGCGATCGTGGGCTGGGGCAAGGATCTGGCTGCATCCACCCTGCTTTTGCTTGTTCGACTAAGAGTCTTCCCTGGTCGTTCGGTTCCAGTTGCACTAGACGATGCCTACAAGAGCTTCCGCGAGTACTGTCACCGAATGGATAAATCTACGTCGATAACGAACTTCTCACTGAAGACACTGAAAGTCGAAACGCCACTTGTCTGATCCCAAAACGAACCCTTAATCCTATAGACTATGTAGGTTAGGAATTGAAATATGAGCAAACCCGGAACCCTGAAATGCAAGAAAGCATTGTAACCTACCTGTGCCCTCAACCCGAACAACCAAGACCGAGGCACCAAAGAGCACACTAGCTTGACCCATCACGCAGGTTGAGGGAGTATCCGGGAGGATGCGGAAAGGGACATGATTGTGGTGTCATGAATGCATGGCTGGAAGAGCTGACTGGACGAGTCGACGAAACAACTCTTGTAGCTTGGATCATATAACCCATATCACCATGGTTTCCATCCCTCCCGCTATAATGCCCAAGGCAGTGTTCGAGTGATTCGCCTAGGACAGCACTTATTTGCAGCTTTTCCTGGTTCTTCGCTGGACCCTACAATGCTGCGGTGTGCATTTTCGTACTCTATACAGCAGCGGCATCTATTTAGACAGACATCAAGCCTTGCTCGCCGCAGAGAGTGGATGGAAACTTCTTGAAGCTTTCCCTTGGTCGAACATATTCCATGGGTGCATAAATGGTTTTAGCTAGGATCTTATATATATGCTATGTAGGTCGAGCTCGGTTTTTGTTTCCATCAGTGGCTTTAGGATCTTCGTGGTTTATGTGGGTCGAATTCGGGTTTTGGTACATAATAGCTACAGGTTACAGGGGCTCATTTGGGAAGGGTCTTGAGGTGAGGAGCCTTTTCCTTTGCAGATGGTTTTTCAAATTGGTTCAAGCTAGCTAGGCTGGATAGGGGATTACGTGTACTTAGCAGAACTGAGGACGGATACACGAGACTAGCCCGGATGTGTGCATCATTCAAGTGGCCGTTGTACAAAATTAGGCCGAAGGTTCACATGCAGGCGGAAATCGTGTTGCCTAGCTGCAACAGATAATCGACTGCTGTCTCAGAATGTATGTCGCATCAATCATCCTGATTCTGATCTTTATGCTTGCATGTGCTGAGCCCTTAAGATACGATCTGGAGCTGCAGCTCAGCACCGGCAGTCCCGTCATTCTCAATTGCCTTTGCTACTTGGCCCTGAACATGTACCCACAGTACAAATAGGCACATGCATCACGAGCATTGCAACACCGCAGCGAGGTTGGTCCTGTTGGTCAGACGAGGACTACGTTGGACGAATAGCTCGAATATCCCGCAAGTGCCATGCTAGTACGACCGTCGTGCGCACCCTGTCCAAATCGCTGATGCACTACAAGACAGAATGGGCTCGCATATACGATCTGCGGAGCTGAGCATCCAGCTGGTCGGTCGTCGTCGAAGATGGACACGTGGTCGTGCGGGAAATGTGTGCACTGCGCTGTGTGTTGGATGGGGGATGGGAGGTCAAATAGATCCTTACCCTAAACCCGACGAACATCACACCAACTTCGATTTATTCAAACCCGAACCCCTTAACTAGCTAAAGACCCTATATAGCTATGTCCGACATCATATCCTCCTGAAATCCTGCCCTATTTCAAATCCCAAGTCCCAGACTTCATCATATCTAATTGAAGACCCTCATCTTTGCCCGGCCCGGCCACATTTGAATAAATCCGGATGGAAATCAATAAACGTCCATAAACAGAAGTAAGTGATACACATTTTTTTCGATACCGAAATAAAGATCACAAAAGAAGGTCTAGGTTTTGCTCTTGCAGACCGTATACTACAGATCTGTGTTCTGCTAG